CCAACAAAGAAGGCAGTAATGGATGTGGGAAAGCACAAACAGTGGTCAGAATTGGGGGGTATATTCTCTGCTTTCACCATTTAAATCCCATTCACATTAGGGCTACAACAGCTTTGAAAGTGAAACTCCCTCCTACATGGCCTTCTGTAAATTTGAAATGTAAAAAAAATGAATTTTTTAAAAAAAGTTATTTCACTTCCTCTAGTAGCATTAAGAGTAAAACTTGCTCTAAGGTTAGGTAGAAAACATTTGATTTATCATAGTGTGCATTAATATAGGAGAATTAACAAATTTGAGACATATTCCTAGGCAAGGATCAGTGAGCTCTAAAAGGATGGAGAATGGTAAAATTGATTGCATAGCCAAGAATATCTAAAACCTTTGTTCATGTTAGCTAAGGTAGTCTCCTGACTGTAAGTTTATGAGGACAGGAAATGTATCCATTCTGTTCAATACTATTTTTTTTCCTGGCTAAAACAGTATCTAGTGTAATATGTACCTAGTAAAGATTTTTAAATGATTTAGTCAATTCATTATAGGGTTAAAATGCAAACAATAAAAAAAAAATAAACTAAAAACCTGCGTTTTTGGTAATGCTTAAAAAGTGACATCAAGTAAATTATTCTCAGTTAATAAATGATTTGAATTATCAGCAATTAATCATTTAGATATCTAATCAGTCACAGGTTCCATCATTCACCAAATACTTTCTCAAATTCATCCAAATCTCACATATGGAATTTTATTCATAAGCCAATGACTACATTTCAAGAGACCAATATTGTCAACACTTAAGCACTTCGTATCCAGTTCTTCACATGAATCTTTTTGTCTGTTGGACTATTGTTGAACTTTCCTCATGAAATCTGAGCAATAAAATTACATTTCATAAATGTTTTTGTATCCTTTTAGAAGCATTAATATATAATTTCCTACATATTTTAAGATATTCCATGGAAGAAAAATACTTTAAAATATTAATATTATTTAAATTAATTAATAGTCCTCAAAATTTGAGCTATTTGCATACAAACATTAAAATGAGAAGTGATTAAATGTTTCATGTAATCTTGATATAAGATTTAGAGATGAAAAAAAAAGTACCAATATTTGGAAGAAAATGAAGAGGTGTCCAACTGTTTTTAAATATATATCCCAGATTTCAGTGATTGGTATTGGAGTTTTGGATTTAGAAACACTAAAATGTAAACAGGAAAAGTTGGAACATAGTTTCCACATGATTAGCTAAAAAAGGACAAAACTTTGGAATCGCTTTGAAACCTATTTTAAAAGCTCAGCTACTTTGATTTTTTTTTTCTATTACAGAACCATGAAAAGTTATTTCAACTGAATTGCATACATAACTCCTAGAGTGTAGACAGTTGCTATTATTTGTTCACTTCATCAAAATGCTCTTTTAAATTCTTGCTACATCTGTATTACCAGGTCTTGGAGAAACCAAGGTGAAAGAGGCCCAGGAGAGGCCAGACCCTCTTTGCTATTTCTAACAAAGGAAATGCCATTCTTGCCACTAACTCTTGGAATGATTTCCAAGTTCTCTAAAAATAATTTAACCTGTGTCAAATAGCTGTCTCATCTGGAAAACTCAATAAATGAATGTAGAAGTTAGAAAGAGTAGGGAAAGTTAGGTGTTACACTGAAATGGTATATCCCAGGCATGTTGGGTTGGGACTCCAAATTAGCCAACACACTTCCATCCATCTGCTTACTTTTCTTTAAACTTGAACTATATTATTGCAGAAAAGCATAATAATCCCCACTCTGATCTTGTGTTTCAAATAAAAGTGCCTAAAGCATCACAGCACAAGCACTTTTGTAAAGAGGTTAAATATTAAGCGTGGATGAATTTCCTTTGGGGATCAGCAGTTCTATATTAAAGGACAGATTATTCAGAGATGAAAAGTAGGAGAAGCAATTTACAAACTATTCCTATTCAGTGACAAGGATTCCAATTTTGCATTGAACTGTAGCTTAAAGGGTACATACCTAACAATAGATTCTTTACAATTTTGTGCAAATTATTTCTTGGTAACTAAATCACACTTTACCCAAATAGCTAAACCTCAGGCAAATCCTCATATAATGTGAAAGTGAACAGTATGCTTTATTTGTTCTAAGCATGATGGCTTTATATACTATTTTCTTCTTTTGAAACATTTTTAACATGGCAGTTATTAGAAACCATATTTTAAAATGATGTTATATGATTTTGGAAGGAAATTATATTTTATACATTTTTGGCTATCATATTATTTGAGATTAACATTTATTACACATTCATCTACATGTGAAATATTGCCTCTAATGATTTTCAGAATGTGCTAGTATCCTCAAGCAAGAGAACTGGACTATTTTAGGAAGTCTGACTGCACTGACCATTAATTTTTGCAGGATATCGCTCTGCTGAAGTTTGGAGCCTAAGTTTCTCCCAAAGGTCTTTGTGGTGAAGACTTGGTCTCTGGCATGGCACTATTGGGGAATGATGGAATGTTCAAGAGGAGGGGCCTAGTGGGAGGTCTTCAGGCCATTTGGAGCTTGTCCTTGAAGAGGATAGTAGGTTCCTGACCATTTTCTCTTCTTCTTTCATATAGTGGCCATGAGATAAGCAGGTTTGCTCTACCATGTCCTCCCATGGTGATGTGCTGCCTGCATCCCAAGATGCCCAAAAGCAATAGGCCTAACCAGTCATGGACTGGAATAGTGCAAACTATGATCCAAAATGAGCCTTTTTTCTTTAAAGTTGATAATCTCAGTTTTTGTTATAGTAATGGAAAGCTGACTAGTACATATACAAAGATAGTTTTTTAAGGTAACCAAAATGACAATGGAAACATTCTGGATTTTAAACATTTTTCTATTTCATTTTTAATATGAAAGAGACAAGTTGTAAAAATTTTTTAAAGAAAAGGGACTGTGGCAACTTTTATATTTGTTCTAGCTGACTATATCAAGATGAAAGTGGAACTCCACTTGTCTAAAGAGTCTTGTGGTAGTGCAAATACAGGTTCATGCTATGGCTTTCTTTCTTGCTTTCATAAGTATGTGTGTGTGTGTGTGTGTGTGTGTGTGTGTGCCTGCCCGCTTGCCTCTACATGTGTATGTGCATGTCCAGGGTGGAAAAGATTATGAAATAAGATAATATATGGAATGTCTAACCCTTGCTGAAAACTGGTGCTCAACACTTGGCTTCTGACTTACAAAGAAATAGGTAATATATATATATATTTCATATATATATATGAAAATATAAATATATATAAAAGAAAAATTTTGCCAAAAAAATCCATAATTCTTTTCTTTCTACTAAATCTAGAGTTGCTCTTACGTCTTATTGGAGATTCTCAGGTAAAGAAAAGAAATCTGATTTCTTGTTTTTTACCCTGTTTGAGTTACTGTCTTTAATAACTGCTAAAATAAAAGGAGTACACAGGTGGATATTAGCCCAAGAGAGAATGTTGATTTTATGCTTCTTAGTCTCTCTGTAGGTTAGATAGTTATAGTCGAGAGAAATGGAAAATGTTGACTAAGGAAAGTGGGCAAATGTTCAGAAAAAAAACATGTTTTTTAATTGACTCCAACAAATAATTGGAATACTAATTACTATATAAATAGTTAAAATGCATGTAAATGTAAAACTTTAATTCCAAATATTGAATAAAAATTAAAAAGTAAATTGTATCTCTTTTAAGACTAAGCTAAATTATTTATAAAGAATCCCTGAGGAAATGCTCTCTCGTTAGAATCTTTATTTCACTTAATGACATTAATTGTGGCAGGCTTTCCATGCAGGTAGGCTGAAATAGAGGAAGATAAGTTTAAGTAAAGATTAACAACTGTATTGAATTGATAGAAATAAGTATTTTTTATCCATTCTGCCTTCAATTTATCCTGAATCAGTTTTGATTTAAAAGACTCTCTCATCATTTGTATAAATAACATCAAGTCATGTACTTTTGCTATTTTCTATTTTTGAAAAAGCATGAGAAACAGGTAACCTGAGTAACATTTCCAATCAAGAAAGTTATTGTTTGTTAATGTAAATTAGCTAGCAGTCTGAAAATCTAAATGTTTATAAAATATTTGAGAGCAAAAATAAAATTGTATTTATCATTGTGTTTTCTTGGGCTTTTCCCAGGGCCCATTTTATGCTTACAAGTGGCTGTAAAATTATCCTAAATGATGAGCAATTTGAGTCAAGATTACCAATCTGGATTAAGAGTCTAAATCCAATCTGATCCTGATTTATGGGAAATTCATGTCCCCCAGAGTAGGCTAAGCACTGGCCTTAACCACTTCTATCTGCTTTTTTTTCCTGCCCCCTGGCCAGTGACAGGAAAAACAGCACTAAACATTTTGATGATTCACTGTAAATATGTATGTCATCCTTTTACCCTGATCTTTATGTGGCTAGAATCTTCAGAGTCTGCCACAACAAGAGTCATGTTTGAAATACAATACATTAGCAGTGTGAAGCAGAGTTAGCTGTGAAGCAGGATCCCCAGAATAAATAGATGAAATTCTAGACATTTCTAAAGAGGATCCAGCTCCTTAATGGCCACTGAGGTCTTCACTGAATAGGTGTGAATATTTCAGTGCAGTCCAACCTGAACTGAAAAGCAGTTCTTCCTTCCAAATTTAAATACCTCCTGTGCACATAAAAAAGAGGTTCTTTTATTAGTCCAAATGTTACTATGGTTCGGATCCTGAAAAAACATTCTCTTATTCTTGGGTTATGTTCTTCAGCAAAGGGAAGTTGGGAAGTTAGGCAAGGGACTGGACTAATGAGTGGAAGTGATAAACTGGAGATGTCCCGTTTTCCCCTCATAACAAGTAAGGCTGGGAAGAAGATGGTTGAGAAAGTACATCTCTCTGCCAAGTTCAGATGATAAACTGTGGGTGAACTTCAACAAAAGTCTATTAGCCAACCAATAATCTGCTGGTATTTGGTTACTGAGGATGGTCCAAACCATTTTCCTCGCAGGTTGGACCCATCCTCCTTGAGGGGCAAGTGCAGTTCCCATTGAGAGGGTTGCAAGTAGCTCCCTGAGCACATTGGCACTCCAGAGCACAGTTCCATCCATACTGGCCTGGCTTGCATTCTGTGAGGGAAAATAAGTAAAAATGACAGCAATTCAAATATGTTTCTCAAGCACAGTTTTCTTCTCACTGTTACTTCTTGGAATATAATAGGATAATGATAGACTTGCAAAAAAAAACCTTTTTGTATCCTGTGGTATCTTTTTCCCATGCTAGAATGTTATATAATGAAAGCAACTATTTCAAAAGCAACCAGGAGGAGGGTAGGGAGTAAGAAGGAAGTGTGTGACAAAATGGGAAGAGGAGAAGTCAGGACAGCCACTGATATGTTTAAAGTGCTTTCTCAGAATTAGATTATTCAGTAACATTTATAGAAGTAGCATTGTGAGGGACACAGGGAAAATGGATTAGTTGCCTGGAGGTCAGAAAAACGGCAAGATGCACCCTGAATACACAATACCTGAGATTTGTCTTCAGGTTAAAAACACGATTATTTGTGCTTCAGTTGTTGAAAGTGAAATGGCTTTAAATTCAACTCTTTCATCTCTTAAAATATGTCAAAGGGCCATAGATCCCCTGTGTGTCGGCTGCTGCAAAATCCTGCTCTATGCACTGGCACTGAGGGATTCAAACGATCTCTAAGTTGAATCGTACTATACTTACAACCAGTAGGAAAATGAAGGGAAGGAATTAAAAAGTGTTAGCTTTATAAATAACTAAATGTGGAATAAAAGGGAGCAGCCTGGGTGTTTGCTCTTAGTCTGGTATCCAGGAAAGAATTAGCAGAGAAAAAAAAAAGGTTCATTTTTTGAAGGATTGTGAGGATAAGAAAGCCCAGCCCAGCCCACAGGAAAAAAGTAACCTCACATTTCCTGGCCAGTCAGGCAGGACTGGGAAGTCATTCAATTTACCAATGTTTAAGGACCACAGAGACTTCGCTTTGCTTTCAGGACAATCACCTACTTTTGTCCAGTTAGCAAAGGGGGTTCTTCTTAATACATTATCTTAATTGATTTTAACAAATACCTTTAAGGTGGGCATGGCAGTGAGGTAAGCTCTCCCATTCTAGAGAGAAATAAACTGAGGTTTGATATGGCATAAGTGAACTTCTCAATTGTTACATCCTTGCTGAATGGCAGGGCTGCATTTCTGAATTCTCACCTAGTGTTCTTTCCTCTTCTTGCACTACTACAAAGAAGACATAAGGCATATGTAGAAGAAAGCTCAAAACAAGAAAGTAGCAGGTTGGAAAAAGTAAAAATTTCAGAAATATCATTATAAACATGAGGATATAGGTAGGATCATTAATTTGAGCCCATGAGCAAAATGTTGTTGAATACATCTTTATTGCCTCAATATCCTCTTTTCTGGATTAGAGATTGGTTCCTCATAAATATTTCATGAGCAGTTGGATGCTTAGTTTTTCAACTCTCTTGAAGGTAGGCTAAGTTGTGGTCTACCTCTCTCATCTTAATCAACTAATTAGATTAATTAGATTTTAAATATGAAGCAAATAGAAACACAAACCAATTTTGTAACTTTTTGTTTTTTTAAACGGGGCTCAATGTTAGCAAACAGCAATTGAATATCTTCCTTCAGAAGGAAGTTTTGGAGGCAGAGCAAATGCTGCTTTTAAATGATTCTTTTCTCTAAACCACTGAGCTTTGTGAAAAAAAAAATTAAGAAGTTATATGTTATTTCAAATTTAGCCCCACATGCCCACCTTGGTCCAGTGTACTGCAGGATTACTTAGTTTGGTGGTAAGACCACGTTTTCTTGTTTGAAAGAGAGTTATTAGTCAGGATCTCTCCTGAGCAGTACAGAATCTGATTTTAATTTATAAAAATACCACATTTTCATGTTAATAACGGTGTGTATTTAAGACATCTGTTTGAATGTCTGCAAATGTTAATTTACCAAGGGGGGGAATAATCCAATAAAAAGTTGTTACATTCTTTTATGAATTAATATTATGGCTGTTTAATAGGCCCTTTACCAGAGTTCAAGTTAAAATGAGGTCTTTTATCTTTATGGCGACTGCGTAGACACAGCTGCTCACAGTTAATATAGCAGATGAACTGTGCCTAATTGAAAATAAAAATGCAAATAAAAGACATGGTAGTGCATCTGTGTAGGCTGTAGGCACCTTCATGAGCTCATGACAAGAGGGACCTTGGGGTACCCAGAGATCCACAGTAATGTGGCAATTTGCTTCTGGATGGTGAGAGATATGTGATACAGGAATTTAGACTATAGAAGATAGAGGCTTCTTTAACTTACATCCTGTCCATAAGCTCTCTTGGTTTAGTGATTAGTTTTAAAACACTGCTGGGTGCTATCCAATAAAACATTCTGCAGTGATGGACATGTCCTATACTGTGCTATCCAGATTGGTTGTGAATAGCTTCATGTGTTCATTGGGTGCTTGAAGTATGTCCTGTGTAAGGGAGGAGGTGAATTTTAAGTTTTAAATTTAAATTGATTAGCAATATATGGTTAATGACTATCATATTGGACAGTGCATTTGGACAAGCAAAATCACTTCCTATTCTTTCTGTCCCCTGAGAGGTGATATAATGGGGATGGTAAAAGTTCAGCTCTGAACCCAGACTATCTATTTCACATTCCTAATCTGCCACTTCCTAGCTGTGTAACAGTGGGCAAGGTACTTAGCTGTTTTTTTTTTTAAATTTTTTTTTTATTTCAGCTTCCTCATCTGTAACACGAGAGTGGTGATGACAGGAAGGGCACAGAAAATAAACTAAAATGCATGGTACATAATGTGCACTCAATAAACATCTGTGGTTGTCTTCAGTGTTCAGGTGGGACCACAAATGCTTTAAGCATTCTGCTTTTAGTGCCCATTCAATGAATGACGTATGTACTGCAGATATTTGTTCTGATAGATTTAGTTGTGACAAGGTTCAAGTCCTCTGTCCACTCTCACTCCTGAAGAATGCTGAGAAGAGAAGAATCCTTTCCACAAACATTTGCTGAAGCTTATCAAGTGTTAAACTGTGCTCTAAGCTTCTTTTCTGGTAAAAGAAAAATTTAAAAATAATTTGGACTGGACTCTCAAAAAGCTTATAGTACACATGGATCAGAAATTTAAATGACACAGTTTTGAAAAAAAAGAAAAGAAAAGAAAGAAGAGGAAGAAAGGGAGGGAGGGAGAAAAGAAAGAGAGAGAGAGGTTGGAAAAGCCAAAGGATTCCAAATCAGTATTCATAACCTCCTGATCATATTAGACAAGTCTATGAAAAACGGAAGAAGAGATAATAAGGAATGTAGCATTCTTGAGAGCCATTGGTGGTTTCTTATTCTGGAGTATATGCACACATTCACATACAGTATTGTCTACGGATAGCCTTGCACAAAGTCTGGAACCAGACCGTCTGGGTTTAAATCTTGGTTCTGCCGCTTGCTAACTTTCTGTGCTCCAGCTTTTTCTTCTGACAAATAGGAATATGACTGACTAGTGACAACCTTGTAGGGTTGTGGTGAGAACAAAATGAACTGAGGCAAAATATTTAGGATAATCCCTGGCATTCAAAGAAAGCAGCTGTATTGCTATTGCTCAGAAGCAAGTGGGATGTACAGAGGTGAAAGCGCTGCTGAATAGCATTTTTTTTTTTAATGAGCTAGAAGGTTACTGTGGCTTTCTTACCATTATTATAACCCCACGTTACAGGATCACAGATTATTAGTGCAGGAAATGATCTTAGAAATACATAGTCTTAGCCTTTCTCTTTTTGAAGAGAATGAAAGTAAATCCTGACATTAAACACACTGTTTTGGGTCATATATGAGGCAGGCTCTGTCTTTCAGGACTATTGTGAATTATTTAAAGCCTTTTGATCTGGCGAGCATTCATCAAGTCTAATAATAAATGATTAGTCAGCAATCATCTCAGTCTACTCTGTCCTCTTCTTAGGATAGTTCCTGAAGAATTAGAGCTTTTCATTCTGGGTCATTCTTCCTGTGATTGGAAAGGAAAATAAAGTATAGATTTCAATTTGCAGAGACTATCTGGGAGCTTCAGTCTCAACAATATTTCTGGGACTGTGTATGATAATTACTTTATTCTGTTGAATTCTGTGAATCACCTTTGTTATCAGGTTGACTATGTAGGTACTTACCTTATGCCCTCTGTCAACCAAATTGCCAGTGTAGGTGCCTGTGATGTAAGAATACAAACCTTGATTCATCTTGCTAAGGGCAAGGTGTAAAGCAACAGTGTTCTTTAATAGAATGTTATTTCTAGCATAAAGATCTCTGTGTGAACATGAATCCGAGGGGAGTTCTGAGGTGCTTTGGCTCATACCAGCTTCACATCGAGCTCCAGTTCTCCCTGGTGGGCAGAGGCATTTCCCAGTCACTGGGTGGCAGTAACTTTTTCCTTCACAGTCACAAAGTTGATGGCAGTTGTCTCCAAACATTCCCAGCAGACACTCTACAAAGGAAAGAGAAACGCTGAAATATGAACCCCTTGAGCTTTCACTGATGGAAATGTGCTATACTGTGCGTGTTTTAGTCAGCTTTTTCACCGCTGTGACTAAAGGATGCAACCAAAACAACTGTATAAAAGAGGAAAAGTTTATTTAAGAGCTCATAGTTTCAGAGGTCTTAGTCCAGAAAAGGCTGGCTCCATTCCTCATGGTGGAAGAATGTAGCAGAGGGAAGCAGCTCACATGGTGAAGAGAAAGCAGAGAGAGGGGTCTCTACTTGCCAGATACAAATATATACCCTAAAGCCATGCCCCAATTCCCACCCCCTCCTGCCACACCCTACCACTTTAGTTACCACTTAGTTAATCCTAATCAGGGGATCAATTCACTGATTGGGTTAAGACTCTTGCAACCCAATCATTTCTCCTCTGAACTTTCTTGCATAGTCTCACATGTGTGCTTTTGGGGGATACCTCACATCCAAACCGTAACACTGTGCTTTCCAATATGGTAGTCAATAGATACAACTGGCCACTGAGTACTTGAAATGTGTCATGTGTGACTATGGAGGTGAATTTTAAGTTAAATTAAACAGCAACATTCTGTTAATGACTACCATATTGAACAATAAAACCTTTAAATTGAGATTAATGATAAAATCATCAAGATTGAGTTCCAAATAGCAAAGTGGGATGATAAAATGAGATTTGCTGGTCAGAAGAAGAAAGTTTTAGAATTCTCAGAAATAAGGTCCATTCTCATTTGATATTTAGGATTTAAAATTGACTTACTTTGACACTGGTTTATATTTTTGAGAAAATAAATAAACTGAAGATAGAAATTTAAGGAAGAATACCAAGTCTACTGGCTAAGTGTTATTTTTTAAAACATTTTCCCTCAAAGTGTTATTTATTGTGCATCTTTCTAGAAGATTATAAGTTCCATGTCTTCCATTATATTTCCAGAATTTAACACAGAAACAGGAATATAATAATTATCACTTTATTGAATTACTAAATAATATATGAATAGAGGATGAATAAGAGATAAAGTATGCAAAGCTTTAGTGACATCTGAGAATATGGTATGGGACTAATAGAGATGCTTTTAAAAGGCCACAGACAATAACTTGATTTATCACATAAAGTTAAATTTCTATTATCATTATATTATTAACATCATCATGATTGTTGTAATTCTGTGCATAAGAATGTACATAAAATAGGTCAAAATGGTACTCCTAGTTGTTAACCCAAAATATGTAGTCTTCCTGGCATTACTTCTAATTGAATTGATCAGTGTCATTAAGGGGTTTCATAATATTTCAAATTGAGTAGCCTAAGTTCTTACCTTTATATTTTCATAAACACTCATAGCTGTGATCACATTCTAGTGATAAATGCCTAAACACCTCTTTTAATATTTTCGTAGTCTTTGTATTAGTTTCAGTACCATTGAACTCAATATATAAGTCATATTTCTTCAAAAATATTTACTGAAATGTTTCCTTTCATTCAGAGGTAGAATCTTCATCTGTTGAAGACTAACAGCTTCAATTGTGTTCTGAGATGTTAAACAATTTCATTTAAGGGAAAATAACATTTTTTGTGCACAAAAGTCAACAACAAATTAGAAGCCACAATGAAGCAGCAAAATCAGAAGGACCCATTAAATTGGTCACTGAGTGAATTCCTGTTACTTTGATGTCAGAAACTATGAGACTGTTACAGAATTTCAGTTTGGGTTTGCATGTCTGCCCCTGGTTGGGAAGATCTCATAGTCACACAGAATATTCATGTTCCGACACTTAAAATGGCTCTGGCTATACCTTTTTCACACTGGCTGCCATGAAAACCTGCTGGACAAATGCACTGTCCACTTCTTATATCACAGCTGCCTCCATTTTTGCAGTCACAGATGTGAGCACAATTCAAGCCATAAAAACCAGGTGGGCATGCTGGAAAACAGAAATGTCAAAATGCTATTTTAACTCTTAAAAATAAATAAAGGAAAAATTAAAGAATATGCTCCAGGTCATTTGTTTCTAAAGACCAAATAAGGAGAAGGAAAAAGAAAATTTGAAAATAAGAAAAAGCTATATGGAGAAGTACATTGACAATAGTTTACTCATGTGAATAAGTGAACATACAGATGCCATTCTCTGAAACTAGTTTAGAAACATCCATAAGATAATTTGAAATATCTTCATGTATGTGGAATTTAGTTGCTCTGATGTGCCATAGTTGGCAAAAACATCACTAAACCCTGTCAAACTATAAACACCTAAAAGAACAGTCTTCAAACTTCAGATTAAAGATAAATTTAATGATAATAATTTTGAATTGTTTTTTCATAAGACAGTGTCTGTGGAAGATGATTCATATAGTGTTTTTAAGAGAGAGAGAGAAGAGAGAGAGAGAATTTTGTAATATTTATTTTTCAGTTTTCGGTGGAAACAAAATTTTTATTTTATTTTTATGTGGTGCTGAGGATCCAACCCAGTGCCCTGCGCATGCCAGGCGAGCGTGTTACTGCTTGACCCACATCCCCAGCCCCCCATATAGTTTTTGATATTTAAAATCCTGGGAATGGACAACAGAGGGGGTATGAAGCACAGTGGGAATGGGAATAAAGGAGAGAGAAAGAGGATAAAAAACAAGAAATATGGTGCACATCTTACATGGAAGTTGGAAATTTTGGGAGGAGGGGTACTGGGGATTGAACTCAGGGGTACTCAACCACTGAGCCTCATCCCAAGTCCTATTTTGTATTTTATTTAGAAACAGGGCCTCACTGAATTGCTTATTGCCTTGCATTTGCTTTGAACTCTAGATCTTCCTGCCCTAGCCTCCTGAGCTGCTGGGATTACAGGTGTGTACCATCTTGCCTGGCCAGAAGTTGGAATTTATAGTCAATGAAATTTAATCATTGAAAATTTTCCTTACATCACCTATTAAATACAATACACAACGGCCTTCTGGTAAGTCCAGCATGTTCTATTTTTCCTCCAGAGTTGAAGATCACTACTTTTGTAAGTTACTTTTTGTAACCATTAGGAGTAATGGTTCACCTTTAGAAACCTTGTATCCAAGCAAATGTGTTTCTTTATAAGCTAAATTGTTATCTGCCTAAGGAGATGGTCCTCCTGAGGAAGTGTGCCAGAACTAAGCCTGACTAGGACAAAGTATTTCCATTTCTTATCTCCAGGTTTCCCTAGAGATGTGTCTGCTGTCCACCTATGAAACAAAGTTTACTCACCCTTTAATTTCCATTATTTCCCCTTGTCTTTCTTTGTTTCCTTCTTTCCTACTTTCCTTCCATCCATCCATCATCCTTCCTTTCTACTTTTTATCTCTCTCTGTCTCCCCTGGTTCCCTACCCCGTTTGGGGCACACAGAGCTGAGTTTGCCCATGTTGATGGAGTGGACCCTTCTCATGTCTGCATAGAGTTACTCAGGACAGATATATCATTAGGAAAGACAATAATTAAGGAGTAGAAAAAGGAGGCAAACACAAAAGGAAATAACAAGAGAAATATATATATATATATATATATATATATATATATATATATATATATTCCTCCATTTACTGATCTTAAAAACAAACAATAAGTGGAAATCTAGTTCAGATTTTTCTGCTTTTCATTCTTATGAAATTAATTTTGATTGAGACTGCATACAAAAATCAGATTTTTTCTATATTTAATTATGTATAAAACTAGGATCATAAAGGTAGCCTTGCTTGACCTTTTCATTCCCTTAAATAATACTATTCTTCCATGTTTCCTGGTTTGGAAGTTTAGAACCATCTTTGAATTTTTCATTTTCCTATATCCATGACCACCTCAATCACTAAGGCAGTCAATAGTTTTCTCAAAATGTTCATTCATTTCCATTTCATTCCAGTCCAGATTTTTAAAACCCTGGATTATCATTCAAGTTTCCCAAGTGTCCTCCACTGATGAGTCCTTTTCCTAATAATCAATAATGTCCCCACATTCAGAGTTATTTCATCAGAGTGATATTTTTTATTTAATCAAAACCTTCTCTGATATCCCACTGCATGTAGGATAAAATCGATGGGTTTCAAATAAATATTTTTCTTTTTTTATCTTTTATTCCAATTTCAAAAACAAAACAAAGAAAGAAACAAACACCATAAGACATTTTTCCCATAGTCCCTGATCCAAAAAAACAAAACAAACAAAAAAAACCAAACTTAGAACCATTGCCAGAGTTCTAAATTCTCAAAGGCTTGGTAATATCTGTTCCTATGAAATACATTTGTCAGGATGAAACAAAAAGGAACATAGTTAATATAATTTCAGAGACTTTAGAAAATGTTTTTCATTCTAAATAACTAACATTCACTGAGATTTTGCCAAAGTTCTCAGTGCTAAATGTTTTCAAGGTATCTTCTTACTTGGTCCTCATGACAACCTTAAAAGGCAGCTGGCTATTATTAGCTCCACTCTATAGATGGTGACAGTGGGAGAGGTGGACCACACATGACTAATTCTAGAGCCTAAACTCTCATATCTTAATCTCTTAACTGTCTTTCCAATAGAACTCTCTGATGCCAAAGACAAATTACTCTATATTACTTGCATTCCTAATTTTAGCTGAAAATATAAATTAAGAGACAGTATAAATCAACATGTTCAAAGAGAACTTGAAGGCAGATATTTCAGAGTCAAGTCTAGATTAACATGTCAGAAATAAGTAGCTTCCTCATCTGTTATTGCTTTTGGGCAGCTATCAGAAGAACAATTTTGTTCTGAAGGACTTGTGGTGGCTCTCAGGGCATATTATCTGCCAGTGTCTACTCCAAATAATCATGGGTGCATAGAACAATTTCTTGCAGAGAAGAACCAAAAAGAACTAAAACGACCAATTTTTTTTCAACATGGCAGTTGTCAACGTCTGGAGATTAAATGTTAACTGTGAAATTAGCTCTAATTGCAAGAATATACACTAAAAGCTTTCTAGTTTGATATAATGTGAATATATTATTTCTATGATTTGAACTTATTTTGAAAGCATAGAAAAGTTACAAATACCATAGTATGACCATTAATTTCTCTGCTTACCATGCTCACAGCTTTGTCCATAATAACCTTGGAGGCATTCACAGCTTCCAGAAAATCTGTTGCAAATTCCATAGTTCTGACATGTGCAATTAAAATGGCAGTTTGGGCCATAATAACCAGGAGAACATTCTGAGAAAGAAACCATGAAGCCATTATTTTTAGTTAACAGACAACTGAATTTAAAAATGAGTTCAAAGGCTGGAAAAAAATGAAAGCACATGAACCATTGGCTAGCTCAACAAATTAAAATAAAGCATGCACATGTACAGAATATTTTTTAAAGGATGGAGGAAATAACCATCAAAAAAGATAAATTTCAAAATTATAACCAAATAGATTTTTTAAATGAAATAGAAAATCTTACAGAAAATGACTTACCAAAATTGTCCTAATTTGAGGCAGAAACCTAGATAAGTCAATTACAATGAAAAAAAAAATATAAAATTGCTCCCATATTAAAAAGGGAAAGCATCAGTACTGGTTTACAGGGAAATTCTATAAATATTTACCAATGAGTTCATCACCTTGCCACTTTAACTATTCCAGTGCATTTAAAGGAAGGAACATTTCAAATATATTTTATTGAGTGATTATAATATCAATTCCAATACTGAACAAAATTGCATAAATAACTTCTGCTCAATTTCTCTTATAAATAACAATACAGATTTGGTTTTAAAGGTATACAGATTCCAAAGGCACAATATGAAATAATGCATTATAACCAAATATTTATTCCTAACATATAAGGTCATTCAAAATTTAAAAATTCATAATATATCATATTTATCAGCCTAAAAGGAAAACTCATATTATTAATTTCATATGTGAAGAAAAGAAAGCTGTAATACATTGAAACAATAAAATATTGAATAAGTTATAAAATTAATTAGTCACATTTTAATATGAATATTATAATATGGCATCATACTGAATAGGGAGCAAAATATCTGAACTAATGGAAAGATATACCATGTCTGTTCTTATAGGATGAGTTTATATAAGAATCTTAACTCTTCCCGAGAGAAAGTAGACAAAGGGACAATAAAACATCTGATTATTTTTTGTTTTGTTTTTCATTTAGATATTTGATTATAAATTTCACTTGGAAGAACAAATGAACAAGAATAGGAAGAAAATTTCTGGATAAGAAGAGCAATTGGAAGGATAGAACTTTCATATTAAACATATCTAATAAAGCCTCCATAGATTAGTGTTGCATTTGTACAAAGAGAGGCCAGTAGAATCTTAAATTTAGAAGGGCTATTGGGTTCTATTCAGCTCCATACTCTCTCACTTTAGGTGGGAAAAGTAGTCCACAGAGAGGCTACCCAAAGACAGCCTGCATGATATTAGCAGAGTGGTGGTTAGCATATATATATTTATCCACTCAAGTTGCAAGGTGTTCTTTTCTATATATCATGCTGTCAAATTTCATGACCATTAAATTAGAAGTGATGGATGGTGTATAATCACATTCATTGTGACCTAAAGAGCCATACACTCACAGTTGAAAACATCTAGATAAAAATTAACTGTAAATAAATAAATATACATGCAGACACACACACACACGTATATTGTTTAAACTTAGGGCCCCCTAAGTTTAGGCCTCCAGCACACTGTCTCACAACAAGAACCATTGTTCTGTATTCTGCCAAAATACAAATTTTCTTCTATAATAGTTGGTTCTAACTGTAGTTAGTAGCTGCTTTCCAGTGATGAACAAAATAATAAATTGTGGTTCAAGAAGAAAGTAACCATTAATATTTATCTTTTTCCATTTAAAAAAATATTTATTTTTTAGTTGTAGTTGGACACAATACCTTTATTTTATACATTCACATTTTTTTTTTTAAATGTGGTGCTGTTGAACCCAGGGTCTCGAAAATGCAAAGCGAGAGCTCTACCACTGAGCCACAACCCCAGCCCAATCTTTTTCCATTTTTATTAATTAAAACTTTTATATATTGTATAATATACATATGATAGACAATGTATCAAGAAGTACAAGAATGTCATTGATAAATCAAAATATTTATACTAAATGCATATATAACAATACAGGATTACATTTTTCCTGATGAAGTCAAGTTTGGAGACTTCTGGCAGGTCACTATCACTTCCTAGCACTGGGTCTACTACTAATGTGAACTGGTTTTTTTCAGGCCACACATCCTCCACCCTGCCTGCCTGCCTCAAGGCCTCAGTGATGACTGAGGTTCTCCAGTTCTGTGCCTAGACATTGAAGGTTAGGAGGATGAGTTTATATACACAATGGTTTTGAGCTTAAGAACTGGCTGAAGAGAGAATGAAATTTTGGTCTCAGAGGAGCTCTTGCACATTAATAATATTTCGATTACTTAAGAGGTTTAAGAGTTTTCATGTGATATTCCAGTAACAAGATAACAATCAATATTTACATACCTATTTTTATTGGAAATGCTTAAAAAACTTGCATGCACTTAATTGAAAAACAGTTTCTTCACTGGCCTCTATTATAACCAGTGATGATACACGCTAAAGGGTGTGTGTGTGTGTGTGTGTGTATATACACACACACACACACACACATATATATATATATATATGGAAACAGAAGGTACTATAACAACTTGCCTTTTTCACAATAATTTCCTGTCCACCCAAGACCACAGGTACAGCTTCCGTCCACGATATTACAAAGTCCACCATTTTTACAGTTACAGTTTAATTCACAATTTGTGCCATATCTTGTCTGGGGACATCCTGCAGGAAAAAAAGTTTTTAAAATGTCAAACTGAATGAAAGTGTCATATGAGTAAACATCTTTCTTTACTCCAGATAAAGTAGCCATATCTGGACAGCAAAAGCATAACACCATTAAAGAATCCCCCAGATCTATCTGTATGCTCACAAGCACATCATTGTTATTCATTCACTTTTCATTCACCCCATAAATATTTACTGAGCTTGTACTATGTGCCTGGCACACTGTGAACTGCAGGTATCCTAATGAATAATCAGCAATAATTCCCAATTAGAGGAGGGAGTATTTTATATAGTTAGTCTCATAATTGTTGAAGAAGAAAGATGAGCAGTTTGCTCCTTAACATTTGTGTACTGAAATCAAAAGAGCATTTCACCAGAGAGCAGTGAAGAACACAAACTAAAATGCACTGCCAAGGGAAGTTAAGACAAAGGTAAGTGACAAGGACCAGACATAAGGAAAACTGAGACTCTCCTTCATGTGCAGGAGAAGCACCTGAACGACGGGAAGTGCTACCAATGGGAGAGTAGAGCCCCCTAGCCTGAGAATAATGTTCACATTTAGTTGATTTTGTCATGAGGAATATGGGCCCAATATTGCCAGCTAATAGGATTTTTTTTCAGGAAAACTGAAAATCCATATTTTATATGAAATTATCCAAACTTTGAAAGTTGGCAACTAATTAAAATAGTTTTACAGCACGGTGGAAGTCAAACTATGCCAGCCAATTCAAACACATTTGTGGCCAGATTTGGCCAAGAGCCTGCCATTTATGACCTCCAGTTTATAGTATTTTTACATAATGATATTTTCCACATGAATTATCTCATTTAATGCTCACAAATATCCCTGTGATGTGGGTAACAGTATTCTTATTTTACTCTTGGGAAAATCGAAACTCAGAGACAGCCAGTAAGATTAAGAATCAAGACTCAAATTTAGAACATCTGACTTCTAATCAACTATTCTTTCAATTCCAGCTAGCAGGAGAGACATTAGAGATTTCTTTATTTTTTTAATTCCAGCTAGCAGGAAAAACATTAGACAGGTTTTTTTTTTTTTTTTAAACTTGCCCAGAGGCATTGGTTAATACAAAGCAGAGCAGGTATTTGAATTCAATATGCATGACACTTTTCTTTATTTGACTGAATAGCTGCACTTAACTTTAGAACCAAATGAAAGAAGGGTTTTGATTTTGTTAGGTAACAGTTATAGTTGTATGATGAATGGTTGAATCTCCATTGCAATTGTAATAGGCTACCTTAAGTTCACCACCTTTAAGTTAACTTCCCTAAGTTAACGTTTGCCTTTAAGGCAAATTAAACCTTGAAATGCTTTGGTGGAACCCAGGGAACTGTGAAAATATAGAACTCCTACTACCACTACCTCTAACCCGTGCTATCCCAAGATAAAAGTGAAGACTTAGAAATGTTTCTGCAGGCCTAAGTCTCAGGACAATATTTAGACAGAATTGTGAATAGAACATGGCTCTTGTAGAGTTAAGGTGATTGCACAATTCTTTCAAACAGTACATAATAATATATATTATGGGATAAAGCATTCTATCCCTATTCCAGTCTCCCTGATTCTCTTCTTAAATACCACCACCAGGTTTTCTCCATAGCATAGTTTCTCTTCTTTTAATGAGACTTACCCTGTCCACTCTATTGAAATCATTGGTCCACCCCATGCTCTCTGGCCCCAGTCAGTCTCCATTTGTAATCTTACCACATATTTTATGCCCTCTAGAATACATGTAATTCACTTCCTAATTATGTTTATTGTTTATTATCTTCCTTACCCTTTAGGAAGCAATTTGCAAGAATATTGTCTATTTTACACATATTGTTCTGTATGCTTAAACAGGCATTGACTTCAATAAAAATTTGTCAAATTAAGTGGAGGATGACTGAATAGGTTCAGAAGTATTCCACATTAATGAAGTATTTGTAGGTGTATCTATCTTCCTCTTTAACCTTTTTTTTTAGCAAAAGGTCAATAGAGATGAATAATAACATAAATTTTGCTTTATTTGATAAATAAAATTCCCCCAAGATTTTTCCTAATTAGCATAGGACTGACCAGTTTTTAAAAAAATAGATAAATAAAATAGGTGCATTGGAATTTATTCCATCACACAGAATTTATATTCCTCACTCCACTATTGATGGACAAGTAGATTATTTAAAATAATTTTAGTATAAACAATGCCATAATGAATATATTATGTGTTTATTCAAATATAACATTATATTGGTAGAGTAAATTACCGGAAGGTTCTTTGGATAAAACAGTATTTGCATTTTAAATCGTCGTTAACTTTATCAAATTTCTCTACAAAGAGATAAATACTAAGAAGTATTATCAATGTGGCTCTATTTCAATGTTTAGTTAATGTAGCATACTATGAAAATCTGATGGGGAAGACAATGGGATGTAAATAGAACTTAAGTTTGAATTTCTCACATTAAGAAAGAGGCTTTTGATAAGCTCTATTGAGCGTGTGGATCCTTTTTTATCTACATATAATGACACTTCTTTATTAAGAAAGTTAGTCCTTTGTTGGTCTTTATTCTTTCAGAGTTTGTTTATCTTTTGATTTTGTGTGTGTGTGTGTGTGTGTGGTGGGGATATTTTATACTTTGAAGACATTTTTGGTTTCCCTTAAACCCAAAAGACAATGTTATTTCTTTTTCTTTCATGGTTTCAGATTTTTTTTCTCAGCTTTATATATGGTCTCATAATTTCTTTTTAAAGTCCTATGTTAATTCTTGTACCCTCATGGTTTTTGTCAGTTATCTTTAAGTACTTTATATAACCGGAAGTAATGTGGAGAACAAAGTTATATAAGATTTCCAACTTTACTTTTATCTAGATTGGTGGTCAATGGTCTTAATGTAACTTCTTACCTAAGTCATATTTTCCCTATTTTTACTTCAGTAATTTCTCATTTTCATTTTATTTTATTGTTTTATTGTTCTTTATTTTCATCACTTCTTATATACTAAAGTATTCTAGAAGATAAATTTTCCTCTAATTACTGAATTAGCTTTACCCCAAGGGTTCTAGATTTCATGATTGTTGTTTTTAAATTTCTGGAATACCAATTTTATTTGCTTCTTTTTAAAAAATCTACTAGGTATTTAAGAAGGTTATTTTTAAATGATGTGGTACAGTTTTTTTTCCTGGAAATAGCATAAGTTTTGTTATTACTGGAATATGTTCTATGGACACTTGAAATAAAATATGTATTCTCTTATTATTGGATGGAGCTGTCCATACATGTTGATTAGATCATTTTGATTGCATTTTTCTATAGCCTTGCTGAATTTCTGTTCTATCAATTATTGACAAAGGGGTGTTGAAATCTCCAACTATAATAATGAATTTGTCTGTTTTTCCCTTTAGAAGTATCAAACTTTTCTTCGTATATTTGGCGGCTGTGATATTTGAAGCAGACACATTTAGGAGTTCAGTGTCTTCTTAAGGAATGAATTCATCCTTATAAAATGGCCCTCTGTCACTGGTAATTTTTCTCTGCTCTGAAGTCTACTTCATCACATGGTATATTGTTTTCCATTCTTTTTCCAACTAATCTATATGTATGTTATATTCTCTCTCCTTATATTTATGCATATATAGGTAGACTGAAAGGTAACATTGTATGTTTTTATTGTGTGGAATATGACATTTTGAAGTACATACACATTGCAGAATGGTTAAGAAATCTATCATCTCACATAGATTTTTTGGTAATAGCATATAACATTCCCAGTTTACACTGCTCAAGAACTGCATTTGCTTATTCACTTTAGTTTCCTTGCTGTACAGTAATCTCCTGAGATTCATTCCTCCTCTCTACCTGTAATTATGTACCTGCAACAAATATCTCTCAGGGCTCCCTCCTTCCAGTTTCAGCTACCCAGCCTCTAACAATCAATATAATATAAAATTCATCAATATAAGATGAATTTTTCTGGATTCAGCTTAGGAGTTAGATTATGTGTTGTTTTTCTGTGCTTGGCTTACCGAATGTCCTCTGGGTTTATCCATGTTGTCACGAATGACAGAACATATTTTGATTGGTATATTTAGATGATTTTTTATATTCAATGTAATTGCTAACATTTTAAGTTTGTCATTTTGCTTTTTAGTTTGTTCCATGTTTTTCATTTTCCAACTTCTTTTTAATTACTTTAGCATTTTGAATGCAATCTGATTTATCTATAGCATTTTCCAGCTTATCTTTCCATATAGATTGTTCCTGATTCCTGTAGATGTTACAGTATACATGTGTGACTTGTCATGCTCCACTGTGACATTTTTACCAGTTTGAAAGAAGTGTAGAAACCTCAGATCCTTTATGTGCCTTTACCCTCCCCATTTATAATGCAATTATCTTAAAATTTTCTTCTAAATCCATTGAGAACTACATTTTTGCTTCCTTTGTCAAGCATATTTTAGAAAAGAGAAGGAAAATAAATTTCATGTATCTGTAATTTATTCTTAACTTTTTTTGCAGTCTAAATTTCCTAATATTCTTCCTCATTTCTTTCAGTTTCAAGATTTTCCTTTAGGTATTTCTTTAAGTTAAGTCTACTGGCAATAAACGTAATTTTCCTTCCTCTGAGGATATGTTTTTCTCCTTTATTCTTGGAGGATGCTTTCAGTGGATATAGGACTCTGGATTCAAAGTTTTTTGATTTTTGATTTTTTTCTCTCAGCACTTGGGAAATGCTGCATCTCTCCCCAAGGTTTTAATGAGAATTCTGCTGCCATTCGATGTGCGGAGTCCTCTTTAGCTGAGGTCTTATCTCTTTCACTGCTTTTCAGATATATTTTTTTTAAATTTTCAGAAGTTAAAATGTGTTTTTAAGATTTCTTTGAGTTTAACCTTTTTGGCAATCACTTATTTTCTTGACTTTGTAGACTTACCTTTTTTTGTTATATTTGAGACATTTTCAGTCATTTTTCCTTCAAATATATGTTTGGCCTTCTCCATTTCTCCTCTCTTCTAGAACTCACTTCTCTTCTTATGACATAAATGTTATATATTTTATTGTAGTCTCAAGGGCTTCTGTGATTCCATTATCTATTTGTTTATTTATTTGGGGGTTGTTTGTTATTTTTTTTTCACTCTCTTGTTCAGTTTGGTAATTTCTATGGTTATATCTTAAAGTTCACTAATTTGTGGTTGTGTCCTGTTCATTCTCCTGCTTAATCCATCTCTCGAGCTATTTAAATTTTTGTTATTGCATTTTCCAGTTACAAAATTTCTATTTGGTTCTTCTTCATGTTTCTTATTCTTTGCTGAGTCTTTTATATTTTTATTGGTTTTAATCATGTTTGTTGTTGCTCATTGAATCATATTATGATGACTGGTTTAAAATACTTGTTAGACAAGTCTAATCTTAGTCATTGAGGGCTGATATCTATTGTCTTTTATCAGTTAAGTGGACCTTGTCTGTTGTTGGTATGATGAATCATTTTTATTGAAACCTGGACATTTTGAATATTGTGAAATGAGACTACAGATCTCATTTAAGTCTTCCACTTTTTAAAGCCTCCTATGACATTGCACTGGCAGAGAGAGAGAGAGAGAGAGAGAGAGAGAGAGAGAGAGAGAGAGAGAGAGAGAAGATTCAGCAAATAGGAGTTAAAGTCAAAGTTTCCTAGTTGGCTTTCAAGTGGGAAATCTGCTTCTTTCCTCCTAGGCCAGTTCAGAATCTTCACTAGGTCTCTGTAGACACCAACTCCCTGAGACGGGCAGAGGTGCTTCCATGTGGCTCTCTAGTGGACCTGCTCTGATACTGCATGGGATGGGCTCTTTGCTGCTTGGTGGTGATGGAAGTCCTACCCCTCCATTAGATCTCCCAGAGGGAAAGGCTGGTGACTCCTTACTGCCTGGTTCGGTGCAGGTTCTCATTCCCTATACTCCACACTGACAGCAAGGATGGGGGACTCATTACTACCTGGGCAGGCTATAAGTCCCAACTCAATTCCACTACCCCAGTGCAGGAGAAGGGTCACTTTTCACATCCAGATAGGCTCAGGAAAGTGCACTCTTCATTCAGCCTTTACTGATAGAATCATAATTAGGGAAGCCGTTTTATTCTGTAGTGTTTGCAGAAGAAGACCAGTTATTGTCCAAAAGTTTTCTGTCTTGCTGAACTGCCCCTATTCCTAGTCCTTCAACTGGACAAATTATCTCTCTGAGTTGTAGGCTTCTCTGACACTCATTCCAGGATACAAAAGACAAAAAGAAAGGCCAGAAATCTTGCCATCATGTTGTTCTTTAGGTATATGAGGTCGCTAGCCAGTCTGCCTCTTTTTTTCCACATTATGGTGATTTTCATGTTTGTTTTGTACATATGGTCTAGAATTTTAACTGTGTTCAGAGGGAAAACAGGGAAAAGTATGTGTATTCTATTATTATCTAAGTGAAAGTCTTATATAATTTTATATAATCTGGAGGATTTTCTTTAGACTGTGCATATAATATTATGTAATATAGTGAATTTCTTATTTATTACACCTTGACTACACAGTATGAATTGCAAGGGGATTAATATGGTTCTGTTTTCACCTAATTTTTCTCATTTCTCTCCTCGATCTGATTTGAGTTGGCTATATTTTTGTTCTTAAATTCTCAATTACAGCATTCTAAATTCTAGAATTTATACATATAAACATACTTATTGAAGTAACATCTGATACATACTGGTCCTCCCCTACTTGAAAACCTTGAGTGAAGAAAAAAGATCCTTGTACTCCTTCACCTTCTCTGTTTTTCCTGTTTATAAAAGCTTGTTAAAGTTATGTTAAAATTCTGCACTGTTAGAATTTATAATACTTACCTTCTGTCACTTAGTCATATTCCAACCGTTGTTTTAAACTTGGCCCTAATTAAAATGCAGTCTTTTAACTACAGAGATTTTCCATTTATTATTTCATTGCTCAAATTTACCTTTCAATTGTTTTCACAAAAATATTTTAAGGCTGTTAGATTTCCAACAACTTTTTATTTTTTTTAAAGTTGTTTATTTGCCACCATGTTATATTTGAGTAACGATTTTAACTGTGAATAAAATACTTGATTTACATTTTTTCCAAGAACTGAATAGGCATTGATTAATCACATGCTAGCAATGAATACTGCTGTGAGTTATAAAGCCAGGCTGATTTTACCCATTTTTAAGTGATCTTATATGTTCCTTTATATCCTCAACAGAGTTGCCCCTGGCCTGCCACCAATCATAACTATTATTTCCCAGAAATATAATAATAGGTAGCATCAGATCTTTTATTTCAGAGAAAAAAAATCTTGAAAATTATATTTGAAGGTTTACCTCTTCCACTTATCATCTCTGTTCTTTTCCAGTCTATTACTTCACTTTCCTTATTTTCAGCATACTCTCCGGGTTCCTAGTTGTATCATCAGCAGATTCTGTCCTCCTGTTACCTGCTTCTAATGTGGCCTTCATTTGTATCATGTGAGGTTTAAAATTAATTTTACTTCTTCTCTGAGCTCTGCCAGCTTACTTTTTCATTTCCTTTTGTTGTCTTTTCATTTATTCCATGGACCCTTGTATCTCTGTACTGCACTCACATTTTTATGGAGAACTCTTTTTCATTATGTCCTTTGAATTCTTGGAAGTGATTCTGGGTAATACCTTCATGAGTTCCATAGCAAAATCTTTCTGATCTAGTTTCATCAGCTTTTCGTTTTTCCATCCCTTTTCTCCTTTGTCCTTCTTACAAAATTTGCACTAAAAAATGCAAGCAAAACTTTGAATGGTTTCATCTTTTTTGTTTCTAAAATGAGGGGAATGTTTTATTCACCAGCTTCATGTTTTTAATGCACCAGTTTTAAAAGTGTGGCTCCCGGGCTAGGAAACTGACTTCAGCCATTTGGTTAGAATAAAGCTCCGTATAATAGAAGTTACAGAATTTGTGTGTGTGTGTATGTGTGTGTGTGTGTGTGTGTACACATACATGTGTAGATGTATATGTGTATGTATGTATGCATGTGTATATGTTTGTGTATATGTGTATGCTTGTGCAAGTGTGTATCTGAGGATGCATGTGGGTTTGTGTATGTGTATGTGTGTAGGCATGGGTATGTATACGTACAGTTAGCCTTCCTTTAGCTACAAGGCTGCTAGTCACCCACATGGCTGCTTATGTTCTTGTCATAATACAGTGTAGAAAACATGATATGTCTGTATATTTCCTGTGCTTTTCTCCCATTTTCCTTCACCCTATGCTATCTCCTGTGACACACCTATTCACCGAGTCCTTGTTTTTCAACGAGGGGTCATTAGTTCTGCCCACCTGTGTGTGCCCAGGAGAAATAGCCGCTTTGCTATCCCCACCTAAGATTGGAGGGGCCCAGTATCCTCTCTACCTGTACTCATTGAACTGAATTTGATACTTCTTCTATTGTTATGATTATTATGATAACAATCAACATTATAATTTATAACAAGAAAGTTTTGTAGTTTTCAACAAAAATCATGTTTTTCTTTGTGTCTCCTGTTTTTCTTACCCTCAGTTGGCTTCTGAGGGTTGAAGAGGATATGCACTTCTTCAGTTCCCATTATTTGACATCTCCAACACAAAATTTTTAGCAATTTTACAAAATTAGCCACAGTTACTTAAACATTCCCTCCAGTCAAGAAAATTCATAAATTATTCTTTGTTTCTGTTTTCTATTTTTTTAAACCTTATTTTGGACTGTTTCCTAAATAGTGCTACAGGAGTGTGAACCTTCATGTTATTAAAGCAGCATTTAGAGAAGAAAGTGTTGTAAACAATGCCCATGTAATTATATTCCTTGGCACCAAATCTGCTTTAATGGTTTGGCTTAGTGCTTGGATGGACAAGGTAACTCTGCAGTCATTGTTACCTTGCTGACACGTGACTCCCATTTGTCCAGGGGGACACTGGCACCCTCCAGTCACTGGGTCACACTGTCCTGCACCACAGGAACACCTTTGGACACAATCCTGACCATAGTGATCTTCAGGACAAGCTGCAGGAAAAAGCAAGACAAAATCGGACAAAACAAAACCACACTTTTCTTATAAATATCTTGCCAGTTGAGATTTTAAAAAAATGTTTAAATACATGGCCATTTCTCTTGTCAAATGGGATCTACTGTCTAGTTTTCAGTTTGGTTTGTAGTCTAAAAGTTTACTTTGAAAAAAACAGAAGGAGGAACTCTTCAAATGTCACTTACTTTAGTGCTATTTTAGTTGAAATTAGAAACAGAGAACCAAATATCTATTGTCAAAAACTTACATATGACTTTTAAAAATTTGGAATACCAGGCTAGGGATGTAGTTCAGTGGTAAAGCAATTGTCTAGCATGTATAGGGCTCTGGGTTCAATCCCCAATGCTGCAAAAAATAAAATAAACAAAACAAAATAATAAATAAGGAACACCAACTCTTCACAGCATGGATCCGGTCTCACTTTGCCATGTGGCACTGGCTTAGGGTGTGTGTATATGTATATATTTTTGCATTGCATATATATTATATTTGTAATAATCTTGACTATGTTTATTCTTAAAGTCCATTATGGAACCTTAGTTTACAATCCTAAACATCAGTAGAGGACCCATCATGTTTACATTCTCAAATACTGATTTATGTATTTGTACCTATTAATCTAATTAACTATTTATTTTGATTTATTCCAAAAATTCATTACAATCCTTACCAAAATGCAGTTAATACATAAGCAAAAATGACTATCTGTGAGAATCCAGGGAGGGGGAAAAATGGCAGCAACATAAACAGAAACCAACATCATCCATCCTTGACCTTGCATGAGAAGTGGGTTGAAAATTTGGCTCAAGTCTTCATAGTTAAGGCAAACGGAAGTGCTGATTATAGGAGATCACAGCTTTCTAAAGACAATGTGTTCCTAATGTTCAGGGAAACCACAGTTTTTGAAAATGCTTTGGCATGAGCCTATTTGTCCATTGATTCTCTGAAGAACAAACACAAAGGAGTCAGCCAGGACCTTCCTTGGGAGATGTTTATGGCTTTGACTCAAAACTGAGCTGGCAGTGGAGACCTCAGAGGCTGTATCCATTAAGTGTCCATTGTCCCCTACCTGGATTCAAGACTTTGTCTTATTTGTTTTTTGTCCTCAGCACAGCAGAAAGAAAAATCAAACAGAGAAGTTACCTTTATACAAAGCAGACAGAACAGCTACCTGCCAGGGAAATACAAACATTTTGGGTATCTTCAGCACAGAATGACTTAGTCCTCTGTCCATGCACAAACTCAGCTTCCAAACAGGATCATGGATAAAGGAGCTTCACAATCCCATCACATAAGTTGAGGTGTGCATGCATGATAAAGCAGCTTTTCTATTTTGAAGATAGTTTCCAATGGTACTTTTGCCCTTTCACTGTGAGGTATGTGATAACAGAACACAGCCCCAAAACATCATGCACAGCTCAATGAATGATCACAAAATGAACATCCTCATCAAAAGCTCCAGGCCCCCAAATCCATAAGGCCAGGACTGACCCCATTACGTGGGCTCCTTCTTGTTGCCTCCTCTATGTTCCAAAAAAGATCATCATGATACTGACTTCAAACACTAGGGTCTCCTTCTGACTCAGAGTCACAGGGGATAAGTACATCCAGAGTTATTTGGGTTAAGCAAAAAACTACCCAAATATTTAGAAAATGAAAGATCTGATAACAATAAAATGTATTTGCTGTGTGTGTGTTCAAACCTGTACCTTTTTAAACGTTCTTCACCTTTCTGTCCCTTAAACTTTATGTCAATAGTTTTTGTAATATGCAGCTAAGGTCTTTGGGTTTTGTGGTGCTATTTACTTTTTGGTGTTTACTTTTTGCTTACTTTGGAGCTAGCAAATTGCTAAGGATAAATGAAACGGTGGGACTTGGACAATGAGGTTGACATTGTGAATGCAGGAACTGCCAGTTTGCTCTGTTCTTGGCAAACAGATTTTCTAATCTTGACTTGGGGCCAGCATGGCTGGAGTGGGAGGGATTATGACCAAAAGGATCTCTTTTGTCACTTTCACCAACTTTAGCTCTCAACCAGTCTTTCGTGAGTATTCCTCAACCATGAATTTAAGTCAGCTTGTGTTTGCTGTTGCTGCAGTAAATTATTAAGTGAATTATAACATTTACTCTTCTAACTGCAGTCCTTAAAAACCTTAGCTTTAGCATATTTGGTACCTGTATCCAGCATGGAACCATCAGTATATCCATTCCATAATAGGTAAGAGTAACTTACTTTGGCTGCAGTCTGCTCCGATGAAGCCAGGAGAGCAGTTACAGGTGCCAATCATGGTATCACAGCTGCCGCCATTTAAGCACTTGCATGTCATTTGACAATATGGGCCATAAGTGCCTTTTGGGCACCCTGTTAAAGAAATCCAAAACCATATGTGGTGGTATAACTTAAAACAGTCAGTGTTCAAACTTGTACCCATAGACATGTGGTTAACTCAGCATTCCAATTATTGTTCTTTGGTATTTTCAATCATTTCAAGCTACTGGTTCAAGGATGTGAGGATATGAGAATATGTAGAGATAGATGGATATCAGTACCTGTTGCTGCTTAAGAAAACATTAGACTTAACTTGAGCTACCTTGGAAATCTACCTCTAAAGAAAGCTTAGAATGGGAGACTTTTCCTAAACAAGAGTATTTCTTTCCAACCTAGATAGATAAATTTATTATTTTGCTTAATGTTTAAATGTTATAGTTTGTCTTCTCTGGAATGATCTAGGCTTCTTTAATAAATGGAGGAATTCCTAAGATACCAAATAAAGAATGCTTTTAATTTTCTGTTGTTTTCAATTGTCTATTTTCATATCCATAGATGTATGCTCTACCAGCAGGATACCTATATAAGAGAAAATTAAGCATTCAAAGAATGTTTTTTTTTTCTTTTGAGATTCACATTTTTATAATCTCCATCCATGTCTTGTCTACAAACTCATAGTTCTTACCTGGAGTCTTAGATTTTGCTTATAGATTCAAAGAGTGGCTCGGTTTTCCTTCTCTTCTCCTTCTAGTTTAAAAAAATGAATTCTTCTAGAATGGAAGTGGGAAGCCCAATATCCCAACATTGTTCAGATCAAGGTTTGTTTCTCTGGCATAGCTGTTAAGTTTCTTTATTTCTCTTCTGTGAAAAATGATGGAATCACTCTGCATTCTCTCCTGTCATACTCTCTTTCCAAGGGATATCATTTCTCAAAGCTAACTGACCGTTTTTTTTTTTTTTTTTTTTTTTTTTTTGGTGTAGAGCATCCTTTAGTATTCCCAAGTAGTTCTTTATCACCAGCCCTTATAAAAACTTAATAGAGTGTAATACTCACTATAAAATTAATGATTTAAAAATGTGTCTTCTTCTCTTCTCCCATTCACTAAGACAAAAAATTCTTCTGGCACATCCAGCTGGGTTAGTACTGTGAATGTTTATAGTTTTTATCAAGTTACTAATGTAGTCAAATAAATGTATGATGCTGAAAAATAATATTCAGTGACTTGGTTTTAGAAAAAAAGACACACAAGCTGAAAATAGAGAGATGGAAGCCGGGAGTTGTGGTGTGTATTGCTGACATGTTGCTTCTAAAAAAAGAGGCTGAATTAACAACTGTTGATTAGTATGGAAAACTCTGGAGTCACATTACTGTGAAGTGAAAGATGGCATGAATTTCTGTGCAAGTAAAGAAAAGAGCAATCTTTATGAAATGAAACTGATGCTCTTATTTGAGGAAATGTTGAACTGAGGATATAATTCTGAGTAACAAAGAGTCAGTATCTCAGTTGAAAGGAATGAAGGGCTTATATATAAATATTTGATGAATTCAAACAGCTGATACATGTGATGGTCTCAATTTGAAGATAATTTTCACGTAAGTTGAAGTTCCTTGGGAAACATAATTTCCCTTTGGCATATACCCAACTGCACACTATCTTAATGGTGGCTTTACATTTGATAGCATCATCCCTAAGTATTCCTTTATCATACAAAAAAACAAAAAAACAAAAAAAAAAACCACCTCATTTCTGGACTTCGACTTAATTATCCTTTCAAAATTGGGACACTGGATTTGATGAAATTAGCCTACTAATGAGAATGCCATCTTTCAAAGATAGTGTATGTGCTAACCTCTTAGTCCCCCAACTCATTAAATTTATATCAATATATTTATATTTATAAAAGCAGTCTAAACTTTTTTCAAGAATAATTATTTTATTGATAATTCTACTTTCCCATTCAATTCTCTATTTTGTGAAAGTTGAATTTCTGGAATCATGCAAACAGGCTTTGCTCAAATGTTCACTGTATTTAACAAGGAAACACACCCAGGACATAATGATTTCATTTGGCTTTTCTGAGTAAAAGTCAGTCCTCCTCCCTCATCTCCTAATGTTCCATTTTGATCATTACTTGGCCTTTGCTTGATCTTTTACAATTATTTCTCCCTGGAAATCTTGTCTCCCTGGCAAAGGGTATTTAGTTATTTTCCATTACAAAGTGATTTTTTTTACCCCATCCTTGCACAATCCCCTTCTCTCGCTTCTTCATTCCAAGAAGGAGCTTGGATTCACATTTACAGTTCTAATTTGTTTAAATATTAAAGATTAAGTTGCTTAGCATGAATGGCAAGTCTCGCTGTTACTGTATGCTCTGTTGCTGTGAATGGAATTTGGTAGTTTCGTTAGAAACCTAGAACAAACAAGACTATTACCAAATCCTGAGACATAGCTCCCAAGTAAGTAAAAAGCATGCATCAGCTTTCCACAGCCTGTTTTCCTAGTATTTGACCAGGTAATTCACATTAGCCATTGTTACACAGTATTGCTTTATTATTAAAAAGAGATACTAACATGTGATATTGCTGAATATTTATTGCTATGAACAACAACATTACAGCCAAGCATCCATGAATGACTTGATTTCTTCCTCTTGGCCCTGGTAGGCTATTTTGTGGCCCATATTTCTCAAAGCATTCTATACCAAGTGTGAGGCTGTTCTGAATACTTTCAAAAGAACTGACTATGGTTATAGGGGACCCCTTAACTTTTCTTGGGAAGAGTAGATATAAACAGCATGTACAGCAAGTTGCAGAAATAAAAGGTTTTCAGGGTCTGTGCTACTTTAAGACCTCTCATGGGTCATAAAAAAACATAATAGGGTGAGTTTGCCTCTACTGGACAGTTACTGTGTTTTTCCTACCTGTTATCCACATGCTGGGACTGACCTGCCTATGTGAATTAAGAAGTGGTGAGATTCTTACTGCAAGTTTCCCTGCTTCCTCTGACCTCTGCCGAGAGAAAATTTTAATTCTCTACTCTGAACCTGAGAACATGAAAGCCCAGTTGTTCTTGGCTGCGGCAACTTTTGCTTAGGAGCCAGCTACACCTTCTATGGATATTTTCTTGAATCTTTTTTCATAGTCCTGTAATTATAGTGGATGTTGCCAAGGAACCCTCGCAGCCACACTCACCACGTGTTGCTTGGAACTCAGCCCATTCCACCAGGCAGGGGAGCGGTTCCCTGACCCAGCCAGCCTCCTGTCGCAAGGTGAAGCCACCCTCCTTTATCCTGGGCTAGCTCCCCTTCTGAATGAAAGCATAACCTGGGTGTATGCAAACTGATCTTATTTTTATGAAGAGAAAGATGATATCCTGGATATCACGAAGGAAAATTTCTCAAGATAGGCATCTTCCTTTTTTCTAGCAGAAGGGTGTTTGAAATTTGCCATAATAGAAAACTCATAGAGATTGATTAATTTTATATTTAAGTTCTTCAGCTTAAGTTTTAATAACTGTAATAGTTCTGGGCCTCCAACAAGATATTAATTGAAAACATTTTCGTGGGTGTTTAATTGTGTTTTTAGCCGGTAATGTTTACAGTTAGGAAAAATCAAGAAGTGACATTCAAAATATATATGTTCTATGGCTTGTAGAAAATTAAATAGCTTGATCATGAGTTTATGCTTAAGTGATATTTGGGGGGAAATAAATCCCCAAATCAGTTGGATTCTTGTAGAATTAGGAAAGGAGAGCCGAGGAATCTGCTATGGGAAGGACTAGGGAAGAAAGACAGTAGTCAGAGCCAAGTGGGGGTGGGGGGGTGGAATGAAACTGAGGCCAAATCATTCTATTCTTAAACCAATAAAAAGTACATTATAAATAATTACAAGCTTAAAAATTAAGTAGCTGCCTGAACATTTTTATATGCTCCTTGGGATATTTTTTTTTCTTGTACATTTCTCAGCAACCATTTTCAATGTTAAAATATCCTAACAAGTCAATATTAAGGTCTTGGTCTAGGGACTATTCTTTTTTATTACACAACAGGGAGCCAACTGGCATTTTGTCATCTAAGCAAGTTATCATTTACATACCAGAATAAGAATTTGATTCAATTGTTCCTAAGCAGGCCCTGGAACTAACTTACTATATGAATCACTTTAACTACATTGTCATTTACCACATGTTGATTTATAATAATAATAAGTTCATACTTTCTTTTCTTTATCTCCTTCTTTTCTTCTTGGATATTTGTGAAGAACTAGGGTATATTTTGAATAGAAAAGGCAAACAAAGGAATGATTTGCACAAGAAAATATAGGTTTTCAACTTCAAGGAAGAGATCCCATGGAATTTGGGATGAATTAACTTTTACCTTTTCATATTCTGAGTGGTGACCCACCCTATTGGTATCCCCTCAGTAAATTACAACTAAGCAGAGCCCACACTTACGGAGATGACAGTGGTTTCCATGGTAGCCAGGCAGACAGGTACATCTCCCTGTGACTGGGTGACACTCTTCATTCTCAGCTGAACACTGACATACCTGGTTACAGTCCTTCCCGTATGTGCCTGGTGGACAAACTAAGGGGAAGAGGAAATGTAAACCCAATGAATTAAATTTGTCTGTGTAAATATAGCTCTAAAAGTGAAAGCAGGGAAAAATTTATTAAATAAGACCATTGCCTACAGAAGTGTGCTGCCCTTCGGGATTTCGGTTTCATTAAATTTACTTGGGGATTACTTCACTGTTTGATTTTGTTTTGTTCAGTCAATTTGTGACCCACTGTCAAGGGCCAGCTGCAATTTTCTTGTCACTGAAAAAAATCATAGGGTGATGTCAGGTAAAATCAACTAAAATAATAGTATAATTCATGAGGGACCGAATATCTGGATAAAGATATTTTTTTCTGGTACAGCTGTTTTAAACTCTCAAGGTTGTTTCTCTCTGTACATTAGCATGTACTATATTTATGTCACTTGTCAGCCACTCTGCTCTGTTCTGCTGTTTCTTTTTTACAAACCAAACAGTAAAAGCTTTCCCTCCAACTTTTAAATAAAATAATGCCTTTTTTTGGAGAAAATAAAAAGGTTTTCTGGGTATATTTCATCTTATAAAATGGAGTCAAGTAGACATTTTGAGTTTCATGGTTGTTTCACAGGAACATTCAGATGGAAAAAGTGGACAAGTTAAGTTGGTCATGAGGTTCTGCATGTCTAAAATTGAATAATAATAATTTCTGGACCAACCTTTCTATTTACTACTGAAAGATCTGGCATCAGGAGTATAAGAAAGAATTAAACTGTTTTGAAAGACCTGTGCTGGAGAAATTTTCGGTTGTGTTATTCTCTCCCTCCACATTTTTGTTTGTGGTTACTATAAGTCCATACTGTACCTTGTTTTCTTAGCATCCACTTTTCTTAAGAATATGTCATCTTCCAGCTTTCTTTAAGTAACAATGATAGCAAGGATAGAATTTCTAACTATGGGCCAGTGGTTGCTTGCTCAGTACTAACATCAAAGACTGATAAAACTCAGGGTGAGTAACAACAACCACCAAACACACATGTATACACACAAAACACACACACACACACACACAAAAAAAAAAACCCAAAATATTCACTAGAGGATTTTTCCTTTGATTTTTGACTGGGAAATTCACAAATGTGAGACCAATAAATGGGATCTGATTCAGCATCTGAACAGCCATTTATGTGCTCTGCTGTTGGTCTGGACATTCTTTTATCTAGAAGCCAATGATTGTTCAAATATCTATCAAAGACACATTTCATCCTGAATTTTCCACATACAATGAGAAGTACATCTGTATTTCCTGTCTAAAAAGCTTATTTAACAGGTTGATAAGCGACTGAATAAGAACTACCAATGATGATGGTATCTAGGGGGTGACAGGAGTAGATCTAGGATGTCCTTGCTCCGTTCAGCTCCTATCAGGAAGCACATGAGGGAAGGAACTGCTTAATGGGAGGTTTCTAGCAGGAAATGCTGACCAACAATCAAAACTGTCAAAATGTGTGTCATTAGAGACTTCTGAAAGCTTTAGAACCCCAGAGCTGAAATTACCAAAAATTGTTCCCATCATTGGGAAGAACCATTTTGGTCACAGGGATTGCATGAGCAAAAGCTTCTTCTCCCCACAGCAAATAATCCCACAAAAGAGTCCTCCAAAAAGATTAGTTGCACTGAGAAATCCAAGTGGCTAGGCTGAGCACGATAGGGTTTGTGTAATAATTTGCAGTGTCCTGATCTTCATACCCATTCCCCATCTGGCATAGGGCTTTGAGGGAAGTGACATTTGGGCTGCTGTGCTATGAGAGAGCTATAAAAAAAAAAATGTACAGGTCTGAAAGTATCCAGTGAAGGAGGTGTGGTCCAAGGTCAGGTGACCCTATGCTACCATTGACCTTATCTCTGGATTTGAAGAAGTTAGTTAAACTCTAAGACTTTCAATTATGTTTTCCACATAATGAGATTAATGGAATCTATCTCACAGATTGTTATTAGTAACACAGAGGACACAGTAACATATAGAAACATATAACTCTTAGTGCCTAGGCAACATGTATTCCCTCTCTACTAAAACACATTTAAAATCAGAATCAACTGTCCAAAAAAGGTGCTCCATGTAGACAAACCACAGAATAACTCTGCATAATTATGCAGAAACTTTGTCTAGCATTTAAAGACCATCTTTCCATGTATCTGCTATTCAGAGAAAATTATTTCTTAAAAACAAACAATGAAATCACTAGATATGAAGTTTCTGTTACACATATAAATCAAACTTTTCCACATTCTCATTAATTTCTCACTTTTGGGGGGCTTTATGAAACCATTCACAACTGTTGGCTACTTTTCTATCTTTGGAGAACCCCAGAGACATTTTAAGCTTGGACTATTGAACTCTGGAGAAATCAAATTTTAGAAGATATAAATAATTTGCTCATGAAAAGTTGACCTCTCAGTGCTCTTACGGTCAGTTCTCCAGTGGATGTTTAAACCTCATTAAAGGAATTCACAATTTGTACTGCAAAGTAATAAAATGAAAATGGAAATAAAGAAATGAAAGCAAGAAAAAAAGCATTCTAAATGTTATGCAAAAAGAAGTTTTGAGAAATACTATAGCATTTCTTAGATTATACAGTCACTCGGAAATACATTATCAATTGTCACTTGGCTAAAAAATGTGACCAACTAAAGATTCAGGGGAAATCGAGTGAATGAATGCAAAGCCCGGTAGCCTCTGTTATTGGCAAGAGAAGGTCAAAAGGAACAAAAGCAATTCCTCTTGTTAGTTTATTTTCTTATGCTTCCAGATGTACTTCACTGCAGTGTGTGATTTAGGTCCATCTTTCAAAACCTGCAGAATTCTGGAATCTTCAGAATTTCTTTCAGTCAAGAATTACTTCCTGAATAACCCTATGAGCCAGGTTCTAAATACTGAGCAAAGTCAGACATGATTTTTGTACACATCAAGCTCACAATACTGGGAAACAAAAACAATCAAATAGTTATTCAATCAAATATCTAATTTAAACGTATTAAAAGAGTACAGGGTGCTATGAGGGGAATAATACCAGGGACCCCAATTTAGACACCAGGTGAGAGATGGGTGTTTGTTTGCAGATATGCTCTCTGAGGAGAGCAAGACTTAACTGAGAGCTGAAACATTAGAGAGTGGGTGTGTAGGGAGAAGTAGAGTGGGAGGAAAGAGTAGGGAGGAGAAGAAATTTCAGAGGGAAAATGCTGGTCATCTGCGAGAGCATGGGCAAGAGTATATGTATGAGCGACAATGATCATGCTCTCATCAACTTTGCATAGCCCATGGCTGCTGTAACAAGTTTGCATTATAAATTAGTGACTTAAAACAACACAAAATCATTTGTCACTGTTCTGAAGGCCAGAATTCTAAAATCCAGCTGCTGGCAGGGCTTTGTTCTTTTAGAGATTTAAATAGAAATCTACTTCTTTATTTTATCAAGTTTCTGATTTATTTATTTTTATGTGGTGCTGAGGATCGAACCCATGGCCTCGCTAGTGTGAGGCAAGCACTCTACCGCTGAGCTACAACCTCAGCCCCCTCTTTGCTTTATCAGGTTTCTAGAAGCCACCTGCATTTCTTGGCTTGTGGCACCTCCTTCCATCTTCAACCAGCTTAGGTTCTTACTTCTCTGCTTTATTTGTAAGAACTTTTGTGATGACATTAAGCCCACCCAGATAACCAGAAAACATCTCCCATCTCAAGATGCTTGACTTAATCACGTCAACAAAATCCTTTCACCATGTAAAGTCATGCTTCAGGAATTAGGACATGGGTATTTTGGGGGCCATTATTCAGCCTACTGCAACTTCTGTGCTCTGAATAATTTCAATTAACTTCTGGTTTATTCCATAGAGGCTATGTTATCATACAGGGTCATGTTCTGCATAGTAACCTGATATATAACTCTTTATAAAAATGAATACAAATCTCATATTCAACTATATTAGATTAAAATTTATGTGGAAAAACTATTGTCAATTATTTTAAAAGTAATTCTATTTATGGATCCAAAATAGGAGTTTTAATACAATGTCACATTGAAAATGACTTGGGGGCTGGAGCTATATAGCTCAGTGACAGAGTGCTTGCCTAGCATATGTAAGGCACTGGGTTCAATCCTTAGCACTGCAGAGAAAATAATGCTAAGTGAAGTTAGCCAATCCCCCCAAAACAAATGCCGAATGTTTTCTCTGATATAAGGTGACTGACCCATAATGGGGTAGGGAGGGGAGCATGGGAGGAATAGAGCAACTCTATATAAGGCAGAGGGGTGGGAGGGGATGGGAAGGGGCAGGGGGTTAGCAATGTTGGTGGAATGTGAGGGACATCATTATACAAAGTACATGTATGAAGACATAAATTGGTGTGAACATACTTTATATACAAAAAGAGATATGAAATTGTGTTCTATATGTGTAATAAGAATTGTAATGCATTCCACTGTCATTAATTTAAAAAATAAAATCAATTAAGTATTAAAAATAAAATAAAATAAATAAAAGCATTCTGTCCATCTACAACTACAAAAAAATTAAGATTAAAAAAATGATGAGAATCTTCAGAGAAGATCAGGATTCAGGAAAAATCTTTGGAATTGACTTGGGATTCCCAAGATATGTAAAAACAGACCCAGGAAGAAGAACTGTACATCAAAAAAAAAAAAATATATATATATGTAATGTTATTATATATTTATATATTAGATATATTATATAAAAAGATAATAACATTGTTGTGCCATTTAAAAAATATTTTAGGGCTCCCAACTATCTTCAGAACAGCATTTACTTTCTATATAGGTCTCCCTTAAGCCAGCATTATTGTACACCTAATAAGATAAACTGACATTAAACCATGTGACCAAATGACAAAGCCAATAAGTGGTATACTGAGGAAGAATACCAGGTGTTCTCAAGATGAGCTCTGAGATTCCTCTTTCCCAGGGCTGCTCTTAGGAAATAAGATTAATGTTAATATTATTTAGCCTTGAAGACATCTAGTGTTTTAACTCACTAG